GTCGGGAACCAGCTTACAGAGTGGTCGGACTGACACAGGAGGAGACTTACACTAATCACGGGGAGCAAGTCGAATTCGAGGATGAGCAGGTTGACGAGGAGGAGATAGAAGATGAATTAGGCGTTGAAGAGGATGCAATCTTTGGGACGGAGGTTAAATTGCCTAATGCTGAGGATGCTGGTGTGCAAAATAAACAGACGAGGTGAACTATATGACATTGTATAAGATGTATTTAGTTTAAGGTGATAAGGAGATTGGTAGTTTAATTTTCCCACAATCATATGATTAGATCTTATGTTTCTCATATATATTATCTACTGGTAGCCTCGAAAAACTGTTTATATAACGAAAAATATGATATTGTTTCCACTGCTTTTGATGGCTAAAATATTGACTATTTTTGACAGAGTTGTTCTCTTTCCATTCTATTTCATTCAAGATAAATTTTTAGGGTGAATAGTTTTGATGGCTCAATTCATTTGATCTTATCCTTGCTTATTTCATTCTCTTGTTGTGTAGATAAAGAATCAAGTCCTTATTTTTATTTGTTAGACTGAGCAAATTCATTGCATAATGCGATCGGTCATATTTGGATTTCTAAAGTTTTTTAAAATTCTTTTTTTCCAAATCCTTTATTGCGGACTACGAATAGGATTAAAAAGCCCAGCTAATACAAAGCTGATGATACGATCTTAACTACCTTTAAAATTTCAGTTATAATACGTCACTACGGTCATATTGAATTAGAAGAAATAGTTGCATCCGCTAGGTTGTACTCTACTCACATGTATTGTCAAATTATTTTCTCCTTTCTTAATTCTGAAAGGATGGGCTAGACCAAAATGGAACTCAAATATATAAATGCTGCAGCAAAGGTTAGGAGTATCTTTTAATTGTATATAGTCTCTTAACTCTAAATTTCCTCTAAATCGGCTGAATGAGATTTTAGGAATTTGGCTACCTTGGTCAATAATTTCTCCTGCTAGATTTGATGACCTAATAAGCCTATGTTTTCATTGAGTCATTGGGGATTAATTTCCTTGCCAGTTAGTATCAGTCTTTTCACTTAATCGCTCTTTCTGAATTTAATATCATTCGCTCTTTTTATTTCGCTTGAAACGCTTATTTATAGCGAGAATACCGCGCGTGCTGCTGCTAACTTGCTTTTGGGTCTTAGTCAACTGCAGAGATTTCGGCGTCAGTCTGGCTATATGAGCAGCAATTTAGACTCTAGTGGAACCAGCACAACGTCCGCCGGTGGAGCTTTTTCGGCTTCCGTGGCAACCAGCATTACCGCTGGTACTACAACGAATCCAGCCAAAGATGTTGAAGATGAAGAGGAGCCAGGAGAGGCCGGCGCAGAAGACGACAATGAGTTGATATTGGAAGACGAAGATTCTCATGAGCCCCTCCAGGCCTCTCATAATGCATCTTCAAAGTCTACAGCAAGTGCCTAGCGAAATCAATTTTTAGTACAGGTTATACTTTATCTGCTGCTCGACTGCCTTTTTTCCCACCATATCTTCGTATCCTATTTTTACTGCAGTCCTTCTTATCGTTCGCCATAATGCATTCTCCTTATCATCCTTGACATCATCACACGTTGCTTTCTGTGCTTATTTGTTGCCTGATAGACTTTTGATCATATTCATTTATCCGTATAGCTAGATTGACAAGCAGTACCACTGGCTATTTCCTTGGTTGTACATGTTTGCCACAAACATGGTTTCTGTAACAGTATTGCGCCCCAGCTCTTCCGCGCTCTATCCCCTGTTCATAGTCATTTGGCCTAGAGCCGGGAAGCCAAGATGCCCTTTGCTCTACTTGGCTTCCCTTCTTGATGTCTGCTTATTCTGGCCAGCCTAACTTGTAATATTTATTGAATTGTTTTTTGACTTTATCATTGATGCAAGCCTTTTTATTCACTGAATCAGGCTTGCATTTTCTTGTTAATTATTATTATTATTGATATTATTATTATTATTCTTGCCACCTTAGTTACTGCTACTGTATTATCAATCATTACTATTTGCAATCTCTGGACTACTTCTTTCACTCCGGGCCCACCTTAAATCTGCCTCGGATGCCATTAATGTGTTTATTTGCTTAAAGTAGTCGCATGCACAAAGGCAAAATATCCTTTATACTACGAACCATCAAATCCTCTGCTGGCCAAGCAGTTTTTATAGCTATGCAGATTTTTTCCATTTCTATTCTCGACTATCTATCGCAGCTCCTTCAATCATTTCTTCTCCCTGAGTGAGCACAAGTATTACTTTGTGATCATTACTCTCACACTTCTACTTGTCTATATGTATATAC